GAAAACCGTCTATAACTCTGAGACTAAAAGTCCGGAGAAGATGAAAATTTGGATTTATAGGTTTCCACATATGCTGAATACGATGAGACTACTTTGAAAAGAATCTGAGACATTCATTGAGCATGACGTGTTGTGGTTCTCGTGCAATGGCTCCTAAGATATATTTTGGTAACACCACTAGTCGACGTTCTTGAAATTATTCTGTTATGTGTGGATCTGTGGATTTGTATCAGGTCAAAGGTCAAAAGTTTTGACCTTTGACCTGATACAAATCCACAGACAAACTATTTTTTTTCAAATGACCCTCACTACAGTCGAGGGAACAGAAGGTTTTTACAATAGTAAAAATGATGTGGTGTATGCCAAAGCTTCATCTGAAATCCCTGCTGATTTAAGAAATGCATCGATTTCAAAATATCCAGCTGGTATTATGTGTTGGGGTGGAATTTGTACGAAAAGGTTAATACCTCAAGATGGTCCAATAAATTTTACTCAATGGTTACAAGATCAACGTTCAAATAATAGTCCTAAAAGATTGTACATGACTGGCGAATTATATGCTAGATTTTTAGATGAAGAAGGTGTTCCAGCAATTGCTGAAGCAGTAGAAGATCTAAGTGAATTTATATTTCAAGATGACCAAGACTCGAAATATTGAACTAAAATCGCTATGGATGTTATTTCTGATCTTTTTGAAGAAAGATTCGAGCCAAATGATGAAGATGCAAAATTTTCAGATGTATGGCCTATTGAAAGTGTTTGGGGAATTCCAAAAGAAAAAACACAAGCACAAACATTTGACAATCTTGATTCACTAGCCGATTTTATTAATTTAGAATGGTGTAAAATTACACCTGAACAATGTGAAGCAATGATAGATAAGATACCTAAACGTCTGGTTAGGGGTGTCAGTTTCGGGTTCCGTTCCCCAAAACCCGGAATCCATCCGGATTCCCAGAAACGGGGAAATCAGGAATCCGTATTAACTTTGAGCAAAAAGGCTATAGAGATATTCCATTGAGTCTTAGAAATGCAGAAAAATGGATTATGAAGCGAGTTCCGGGTTTTCGAGAACGGAACCCTAACACCCCTAGTCCGCTCAGAAAAACTTAAACACATAACTTTCTTGATAACGTCATTGTGACAATATTCTCTCTTGTGGCTGATAAGACGAAAAAAATTATGTATACATTCCAAACGCTATTCGATTATATAAAAAAATCTTGTCCTCATGTTCAAAGTAAGAACTTTGAAATGATCATCAATGAGGGAAAAATCATCAAGGCATTTCCATCGTTTAAAAGTATAGAAAAAACATTGAATTCATATGTAACAACTCATTTTTATTAAAGACAATTCAATATTAATATTCAATATTACAGAAGATTTCTTTCGCTGAAATTCAATATTATTCTTTTCATAAGTCATGAGTCATTGGACTTTTTACCATGAATATTATTTGCTTTGAATCGACATGCCATATGGAGAAAAAGAACAGAACAAAAGATAAGTGCTTTCGTTAGTTGGAAATTTCCAACAAAATATTCTATCATATACGCCAGTCTCATCATGATATGTATGAAATATCATAGTTAATACATTGATATACGTAATTATTAATGGGAAAAGACCCAGTTACATTCCTTGAGTGTAAATACAGTAAAATAAATTACTTTCTATATACTCGAAATCAACTTGAAAATATTGCATTGTGTTAATTTTCATTGTAGGTATAGTTGTTTCTATTTTGACGGTGTGAGTGAGGATCTGAAAGCGAATAATACACTTATCCACATCCTCGTTTACGAAAGTTCAACATTAAACGAATTTTCAGTTTCCACACAATATAAATTTTTTTTCTTGACTGCCTGTTTTTATTAGGCTTACATGTAATGATAACAGTTCGTTTTATTTTATTATAGATTCGCTACTTCGCTTAACTAAAAATGAGTAAACCAGGACCCAGTGGTAAACCCATGATTCATAATGTTGACTGCAAAAACAAAGCAGATGCCAAAGAGAAAGCTAGAAGCAGCAGTCCAGGATCAAGTAACAGAGGTGGACATATACCTGAATTGCATAAAGCTCACAAGGAAGGTCAACAAGATCATGCCCATCCAACGAATGCCCAAGGCGAGAAAGAGTTCGGTGCAGCACATTTCAACTATGGGAAAAAGAAATAATCATCGAACCACTTTGTATTTATTTTTTTTTCTTTAACAAAAAGTCTCTTTATTCAACATAACTTGTAATAAACAAGAACTAGTTTTAGAACTTGTACTCTCTATATCGAAAAAACGATATTTTTAACCAAAACGGTCATTTCTGATGGGGCCAGAGGGGTAGGCATGGGCGAGTCCGGAAGGGACCGAGTCCGAGTCCGATAATCTTTTAGATTCTTTTTTGATGATTGTGATTTATTTCTTTTTTTTAATAATAATAATAAATTTTTTTTATATAATATGTCACATATTATATAATGATGATTTTCTTTCCTTGTTTCTTTATAGCGTTCGGCCGTATCGTTCATCACTATATGTCTGTATCATAACTATCTATATTTGGTAGCTATAAACCACCCAAAGAGTGGCTGAATTCTTTTAGTTTCGATACAATGCTTTCGGTATTAAATCTAACCTGTTTCACTTGCTCATTATCATTAGCGGTGACTGATAATTGAATTAAAGCTTGTGTACAATTATAGAATAATTTACCGATAGCTTACATTAGTTCATGAGGTGTTGTTTTAAATTTTTATTGCCAGTCTCCACCAGCTTCATCAATAGTACGTAAAGTGAGCTCTACGTCGATGCAAGCTGAGATTATGTCATTACTTCAGTAATGATAAGTTTCCAAAACTTGGTAAAGTGGAAACTAAGGGAGCATTTCAAAATTCTTGCCCTTCTCTCTGTCGTTCTGCCGCGGCACAACGGATTAATTTAACGACATTTCGATATATTAAGAGCGACGCGTCTGGAAAGTTTTGATAAAAGACCTCGTTCGGACGCGTCGTGTAACGGAAAATTGATCAGACGCGTTTAACCTCGTTTACTGATTTTCTGAGAAAAAAACCGCTTCCGGGCTCATGTAAGGATAGGAAGCGTTTAAAAGCGTCTAAAAAAACTTTGTACAAAGTCGCTTTGATAAAACGCAGCTCGACGCACAAAACGGATGAGTATTTGAACTACTCAGACGCATTTAAACGCGTAAAATTCCTAAATAAATGAGCAAGAGCGCGTCTGCATAAAACACGGTTAAACACATCAAACGGGTGCACATCCGAACGACTTGAACGCAGGATAAAACGTGTTTTGAGACCCGTCTAGAACTGTAAAATATTTAAGTGGGTATTCATGATTTTCTATTTTGGAATGGATAGTTTAACGTAGGTTAAGGATTATTAATTTTATTTGTTTTGTTATATTAGCATGGTTCTTATTAAATTCATCCAAAAACGACTACAGTAAATTGTTAGCGGGTTGTTTATTAAGATTGGCTTCTATAGAAAATTCATTAATTAATAGTCTGTGTCATGATGAATGTAAAATGCCTAATACTTTTGCCAATATTAAGTTTGAAAGAAGATGATTTATTCATAATGAATGAATAGATATTATTAAATAAAATTTATCAATGTGGTTTAATGATTAATTATAATTGTGGTTATTGTCGTAACATTGTTTATGATTTTGATGAAAGTGAATTATGGTTAAAACAAAAACTGAATAAATGTAACTTAATCGATACAGAAACAGAAAGACAATGTGATCCATTTCATTGTTAATTTGAAGCATTTGATACTAAATCAAATGTAATTATTAAAATATGTGAACGTATACAACAAGAAGTATTCTCAATATTGAAACGAGAAAAATTAAAAGATTTTATAACAGAAAATGAAGATAGTTTATTAAAAGTAATTGGTTCACTTGATCGTATCTTCGTCTATTTACGATATACATCAACGAATGGTAATATGACATTAGGCGAGTTTATAAAGGAAAAATAATATGTTTAAAAAAAATTCCAAAAATGTTAGCAAACGAAAATCTTTGCAATATTGAATTAAAATATCTAATTGATTTATATGAATTAATCCCAAGCATGAAAAATGTGTCCGGTATCGCCCGATGCAGCTAGATATACTGAATACAAAACGCGATACACCTAGATGCATAAAAACGAGAAAAAGTTGAATCGGGTTATCGGCCGATACATATACAGCCGAGTCATTTCTTGATGTATCTGATTATGTATCTAGTAACAATATTAACCCGATTCATCGAGCAGTATATCGGGAAATGAGTCTAAGTGTGTACCGACTTCAGATAACACACGCGTGAAATCGCCCGATAAAACGGCCGATACATCGTATAATGTGTCGGGCGATGCATCGTGGGATATATCGATCAATTCATCTACTTGAACATCGTTTTAATTCACGTCCATTCTATCCTATCCTTAAAATCGAATGATGCATCTAGTATAAGTCGATTTCCAACACTACCGAGAAATCGCCTTGTGAAGAATCGGTTATCGGCCGATACCTATACAGCCGAGTCATTTCTAGATGTATCTGATTATGTATCTAGTAACAATATTAACCCGATTCATCGAGCAGTATATCGGGAAATGAGTCTAAGTGTGTACCGACTTCATATAACACACGCGTGAAGTCGCCCGATAAAACGACCGATACATCGTATACATCGTATAATGTGTCGGGCGATGCATCGTGGGATATATCGATCAATTCATCTACTTGAACATCGTTTTAATTCAAGTCCATTCCATCCTATCCTTAAAATCGAATGATGCATCTAGTATAAGTCGATTTTCGACACTACCGAGAAATCGCCTTGTTAAGAAACAGTAATTATCGGCTTGCACCATGAACCTCAAGCTGTACAAAGCTGAGCCTTGGAGATAAAATTGAGAAAATTCAATTGACTACATTTCGTCTTCTAGACTCAAGTTTGGCAAATATCTTCTTCATAGTGAAAACTCGAGAAAACCACTTTTCTAAAGATAATTTTCAATTTTTCACCGCAAAGGAAGAATTTCCCAAGCTTGAGTTTGGAACAGAAAGTGTAGCAAATTTAATTTTGCTAAATTTTATCTGCTAGGCTCAGCTTTGTACAACCAGATCTTCAGGATGAAAGACACTAAAAAACGTTTTTTTGTCTGACGACCGGTTGCTAGACACCCAACACCAGCACAAAAATTTTAGAAAATTAAATTTCCAACATTTCATGTTCCAGACTCAAGTCCAATAAATGGACTCATGGTTGAATTGCCATTGATCAGATTCACCGTGATATTGGTGTGTGGGGATAAAATATCAATACATTCAATCCAGATGGTTTCAAGGCAAATCGCACACCAGATCAAAAAACAAATTATTTGCCGTTTGCTGATATTTGTCCAGCTCGTCACAGATATGTATACCTGTTAAACCAGAACGCCGAGTTTTACATTTCTATGCAGGATATCTTTAATAATTTCGTCAATGAGTCCTATGTTAATTAGTAGTAATTTTGCTTCATAAGATTGAAATCAATACAACGTAAAGTGCGTATTGTATGAAATTAGTCTACAATAGGAACACGATAAATAATGCCGAAATAATATTGGAAAAACTCGTTTCTATATGTTGAAACTAGTGGAACAGTTATAGTACACCATCCAGGAAGAGAAACTAACGTTCTTTCTACTCTCTGGATAGACTTATCCGTTTCCTTGTCGCACATTTTTCGTAGTAGCCCTCTTTTGTATGATATCCCAGTATGTCTTATGCGTCCTGGATACTTCAAAGACATGGGGATGTCCAACTTTACGACGACGAATAGAAAATAGAATAGAAAAATGAAAGACCGCATGAAAACTACTGAGAAACTTCAAAGCCATCACTTTCGAACTGCTACGCTAAATCGATGATTTCTGGCAAAACTACTAAAAGCAGAAGTATTCTCATGTAACTAGTTGTGCTGTAGAAGATTTATAATTATTACTAAAAGACAGAGCTTTTTAAGGTCTACAAAATGACAAGTGTAATATTTACATGTGTTAAAAAGTCAACGAATGAAACCGAAAAAACTGTTTTCTTAGTTGAAAGGTTAGCGGTCTGGAAGTTTATCAGTATTTCAGTCTTTCACTTTTCTGTTCTGGAATAAAATACTTTTCACATATTTTGTAAAGAATTTGACGGCGCATCTTTCGAAAAAGACGATAGGTCCATATCACGTAGAGTCAGCAGAATTTTTTCGTGCTCTCCCAGTGTATCCGGGTGACGATTTCATGACGAAATTATATCGATGGTCAGTTGATGATACAAATGGAATTATTTATTTACTAGTTATTTATCTTTATTATTTGGAAAGAAGTGAGGTGATTGTTGGACAGCCGTACTATGTTCTAGAAAAATCTTACTCACAAATCCAGCCATATGGAGCAAACTGCACCGGATGATAATCATATGCAAAGGCATGTGATAAATGATTTAAGTCGCCAAGATCCTTTGTCGATAATTTCATGTGCTTATTAAAAACAATTAGAATCCTGTGTTTTAGTGAGAAAATAACTTTTAAAATAAACAATGTCGCAAGTATATCTCATATTTCTCTGCAATAAGAATAGGTAGAAGTATCCATTTTCCCAATTATTACGGTATGATCCTTTGGGCATTAATAAAAAATTGCATACTTAGTTAGTGCGATTTTAGTCCTGTTCGATTTCAGCGCGATTTCAAAGCCCGATTTTCATCGTGTGTGTAACGTCATTCGTCCTGAAAATGTTGTCGCACTAAGATTATCGAACGGCGAAGAGACATCGGACAAAATCCAACTATTTCTCTCCTTTTTTGACATCTGTCAATTCACTCGACTGGATCATTAGCTCTTGTTCAAACCGACGATGATCACCTCGACGTTTATATCGTCTTTTTCATCCCCAAACACTTCATCATTATTAAAAATTTTCTTAAAAAGATTAACATTTGTTTAAATTCTTTCTAGGGATTTCCACTGAATCCAGGCTCCGGATTGGGAGACATCTGATTCAAACTTCGACTAGTCTATATGATCTAAAAGAAAAGTTTAATCCGAAGAAGAAATTTTCATCAAATATTTATAAACTTCATAATTCAGTCAAAATCCGTTCAACCTACTTCAGAATGTCAGGAAATACTCTGTTTTATCTGCAGCATACCATACTGTAAAGCTCGATAAATGTTGAAAAATACTGATTTCTAGAAGCGTTTCGCAGAAATGTGTACAGCATAATAATTAGTCGATAGAAATCTTGTTGATACCAAGAGAATGGATGGACATTGTTACACATTTGACGTGAAAAAGAATTTTTCTTTAGCACGTTAAACAAGAGGCAAGAGAACCGAAAGACAAACATTTGACACGTGTCTACAAATATTTTACATGTACGAGAAAAGATATCTTTTTATTTGCTAGAGGTTTAATACTCGGCCAACTTTACACACTATCTTGTACATTCCATTCATTCTTTTCTACTTAATCTATCGATCTTCTTTCTCTGACTACATATATAAACGCCATACTTCTCACATCAATCATACATGTTTCTTTTATACCGTACAAAGTCTGCATAGTGAGTATCATTAACACATTCACTGCCACATATGCTGAAATATCTGACATGAATATGTCATTCGACGTATACGGCAGTGAATGTGTTAAATTTATCTGTGGTTGTTATATAACCAGGTGTATCATAGTCATCGTCTTCATGCTCAAAATCATGATTAAAAAATTAGGTTCAGCTGCGAAAAAGTATGATGTGCATTTTGTAATTGATTTGAAATACTTTTTCTTTCAAGAAATTTTGCTTTTCTCAATATTTGCGGTACGCCTACATGTCACGCTCTACAATGTATAGGCGAAGTATCTAAATAACGTTATGGTCTGGTGGAAAAAACATACTTTTGATATAGTTGAAAGGTTAGCGATCTGGAAGTTTATCAGTATTTCAGTCTTTCACTTTTCTGTTCTGGAATAAAATACTTTTCACACATTTTGTAAAGAATTTGACGGCGCATCTTTCGAAAAAGACGATAGATCGTAAAGAAGACAACAAAAAATTAAAATACAAGCAAACGGTTAATGGGTGAGACATATTTACCACTAGAAGTACATATTTAGTTGAGGCAAGACCGAGCCGAGCTTTGCCCGATCCTAGCCCAGCGAACCCGACACGACTACGAGCCGAACCCAACGAGCGCGAGTTCCCGGACTCGGACCATGCTTAGCCACGACAACAAAAACGAATCTGTTCTTTGCTTGTACGAATTATATGAATTGTGTGAAGCGTGTGCCTCGACCATGATCGGTAGTCATTCGTTCTATAAATCTTAACAATGTATTGACGTTCGTTATCCTCTACTCTTCGAGGGCATAAAATTACTTGTGTTTTTCCAAATGAAGTGTAGCTGTTCGTTCTGCAACGAGAGCCGAGTTTGAGTTAGAAACAAATGCACGAAGAGCGTCTAATTTGGTAAATGAAACAATAGTGGTGTCAGATTTACACGCATTTGGAGATACAAGCGACAGAAGACTACGTACGTTGAAAAGTGATATTTGTGCATTTCCATGTGCTCCTATTATATTTGAATTATGTGACATCATTCTGATAAAAAAGAAAACAAGCAACACTATTATCGAAATTTAAAAAGAAGATTAGGCAAAATTCTTACAACTTTTGAATGAAAGGTGATAGAGACCTGTGATTGTCATCATTCGAAAGAGGGGATCAGGAGACGTACATCGAATCAAAAAGATGTGATCTGAGCTTTGGTTCCGTGGGAGGGTTTCCAGAGATTCGTTAGAAATTCATATGCATAAACCAAAAACCCTATCTACTTTTTCGGCTCGATTTACATTCTTATCTCTGCTAATCGTTCCCTGAAAATCTAAGTCTTTTCGGACGAGAAATGAGTGAAATATATGGTTTTTGGTTTCTGACGGTAACAGTCGAAAAATCGGCTTTTCGTCAAATTGGCTTTTCTGGAGTTGTGGTTAGGTGAGGAATTAAACGACCATTGCCACAACGATCAGTATTGTCGATTACCTATGATCCATATGTTTCTGAGATTCTCAGACGTATGTGCAATCCGATAAGTGTGCCCTCGGAAAACGTCTGTATCTCTAGAAGCAAAGAAGATGAAGACCTAGGTCTTGCGTAGTTTTGAAGTGAAATCTTTTGGCTATCGATTGCTATTATTTGAGACTGGATGTCATAGTGTGGTTTGGGAGCGGTAAGTTTTCGGATTTTGTCTCGAATGGTGCACCACGGTAAACCCGATTGGGAGCCCTAATTTTTCCATTGTACGTTTCTTGATCCCTCTTCCGAATGAGGACAGTCGCAGGTCTCTATCACCTTTCATTCAAAAGTTATAGGCATTTCGCCTAATCTTCTTTTTAAATTCCGATAATAGTGGTTTTGGACTCTCCAACGACAGGCACATTTTTTCCGAAAGAAAGAAAATGACAGTTGGGAAATTTTTTATTTCGTGATTCCTGATGACACTAGTATATAGTCCGAATAAAGAAAAATTTTCAAGCGAGTTCATTTTCTTGACTTTTTTTATTCAAACCGTACAATACCAGCGCGATTAGCCCACGCAAGCATGTACATCGCCGTACCAGTCAGCTTTGTGCACTGCGTTTCCAGTGCTTACAGAGACTTTCTCTGTACGCGCGCGTGAATAAGACTACAATCTTATAGGTAAGTGAAAACACATTCGTTTATTCATCAAATATTAGCACTGATTACAATTGCATTTTAACATTATTAATACCTACTCGTCCATTTATAATCTTAAAATGATTAGGAGGTAATGAACGTTGTAAAATATCCTGAGCATGTTCAAGATATAAGAGTGCCTTTTGATACTGTTTTATATTTTCATAGACAAAACCGATGTTGTTGTACGAAGTAGCCAAATCAGGATGATTTGGAGGAAGAGTTTTTTGAGATATTTCCAGGTCTTTTTCGAAAAATGGAAGTGCTTTCGAATACTCTCCCATGTTGCAATACATTCCACCGATGTTGGTGTAGGAAGTAGCCAATGAAGGGTGATCGGGAGAAAGAGTTTTTTGTTCGATTTCAAGTGTTTTTTCGTAAAATGAAAGTGCTTTCGCGTATTGTCCTATTTCGCCATACACCACACCGATGTTGCTGTAGGAAACAGCCAATAAAGGATCATCTGGAGCAAGAGTTTTTTGTTTGATTTCAATTGCTTTTTCGTGATACCAAATAGCCCTCTTATAGTCACGTTGATCATATTTGACAAGTCCAAGTTGATTATAATAATGTGCTTTATCATCCTCGTTAGATGGCTGTTCGAGCAGTACATTGTATAGTTCTTCGGCCTTATTAAGCTGTCCTACCTTGAGTAGCAGTCTGCCCAGTCGTCTCCATCCTGTCGGACCTGCAGCCTCCTCTCGTATACGTTTGGTGAGACTGCGAAGTTGTTCATCATCATCAGCTGATAATTTAAGTTCCACTTGATAAAGTGGATTGTTTGTTTCTATTTGTTTAATCTCACCAATACAAAACACCGTGTGCATGGAGAACAATATTTCTTCTTCTGTCTTGAAGTAACTAACATCCCGAATGGCGGCGAATGGAGCAGATGAAACCAAAGGATCAATAGTCATCACGAACAGGATGCCGACCATATCGCCTTTTTTCGAAGCACTTTCAGCAAATCCAAGGGAAACTTCTCGTTTCTTACTGGTGGACAAGAAATTGTTAAGGAGATTAGTCCACCTTTTGTCTTCCGAAGTTTTTCAAAATCAGCTGTCGAAAGACCTTGTCCCCGGTAAACTGAAAATGTCTCCCCGGTATAACTACTGACCTGTTTTTTATGTAATTTTTCAATTTGTCGGTGTAGGTCACAAATGAAGAACCCCATGTTAATTATTGTGTCACCTTCTAAATTACGAAGTGCACGATTGAGCATTTGATAAGTAAAACACTCCCGTGTGTACCACCAAATTGGAGTTTTTGGATTATAATCACGTTCAAATTCATTAATAATATTTAATTCGCGCATGTTGTTTTGATAAAGGCCACGGCAGTACTTTGCCATGTCCGTGATGGCTTGTTTATTATATTCCATCTCAAGAAGTATTTCCTTGAAGATTTGCGTGTACATGAATGTGGGCTCCAGTTGGTTTAGATTCTCACTGGAAGCCCCTTCACCCGCCGATATCAGACTAATGCCAGTGGAATCCTCATTGCATTGTTTGGCAGCTAATTGCAATGCTTCACAAATTGGCTTAATTTCTGTATACACCCCTTTGATTTTGCTCCAGTTTTGTGCCCATTGCTCATGCGAGGCTTTATTGCGACCGAAGATGTAAATGGCTTCTACCTGTGCTAAGGGATGGATATCGGGAACCAAGTTTTGACCTAATGCATCAGAGGCTATAATAAAAGCCTTTTCGTTGCTAATGCCCCTGAGATGCTGAATATATTGTTCTGAAACAGTGCAGATGTTGACAGCATTGACAACACGTCGTAGTTGTGCCAATGTGTTCTGACAGTGTTGTTTCGACTCGTCGATATTGGCATCATCCCAAATTAGTACGAAATTTTGGACTATACGTTGTTTAGGATAACCAGCATTTGAAGAAGCTGCTGTTGTTGTAATAGTATTATTCATATATTCTATCATCTTCACAGGGTACGTTTTTGTTGAAACTCTATTTTTAGTAAATCGACATTGAATAGATAAACTAGAACATTTTGAAGCTTCTGTTTTTTCTGTTTAAGAAAAACTCAACCCCAATAACGAAAATAACAATAAATTCATTTCTGTCGCTCGATCGAGATCAGTGAATATATTTTTTCATCTGAAAATATGTCTGAGAATTATTATTTGTATGTATAATCCTGCTTTATTCAAGACTGAATTATTCATTCTCAGGTGTTTCGCTTATGGCCAGGTATTTATTCATTAAATTACACTTTTACTAGGCTTTATCCATGGTTTAATTAAGATACACACAAGATAAATCTCTAGAACAGTCCCATACATGTTTACGAAGACTATTAACGAATTTCTTTTATAATTCTTAAAACTTGAGAAATCTAGTACTAATATATGAGGGGAAAAGTTCGCTGTGATTTTCCTGTCGATATAAATAGAAAAATTTGTAAGAAATGTTTTCAATAAATTATACTACAAGATGCAGTGTGAAAAGTTCTACAATTTACATAAGACAACTTACTTTTCAAAGTGGTCAAAATTTAGAGCGACAAAATTTCAACCGTGAAAAGATAACACGAACAAGAATTTTTCTTTTTTCTTATTTCATCTTTTTATCACCTATACAGATTGTAGAGCTTTTCATACGACATCTTCCCAGGACATTGAAAACCACCAAGTTAATTGCCAGTTAACTGTCAGTTAACTGACAATTAATGAGCAGTTTACTGCCTGTTTTTAGGCCGGTCAGACCGTTTTTAGGTGGTGTTATGATGGTTT